GTGTGTGGTTCTCACCTTGAAGCATCTATTATGTGATTCGGCCCACTGTGGCAAACACCATCAGGCGCCAGAGAAACACCATCTGAAATGTGCTGTCCCAGCCCACTGCACCAACAGCTATCTCCCTCCCTGCCCTGTGGGCTGAGTCGTGGGGCAGCTGGCTCTAAAGGATCCTGCTTTGAACCTGCTGTAAGAGCGACTAATTTTTATCATTTTAACTTTTACTTTTAGTTAGATAATTTGGACTTAAAATACTGATATACAAAAATTTGGATTTAAAATATTGATATTAGACATAATAATTATGGCTGAAAAGGAAGAGAAATAGGTAATTGTGACTAATACAGACAACAAAGTGGTGTTTTTGATGCAAGTGGCACTTAAATCGTATGTGGACAGAGATAACAGCTTAAGAGATGGAGAGGGTCAGGACATGTGATAGTGACTTTGACATTTTATTAAATTATTTTAACTTCACTTTGTTGAAGTAATTTGTAATACGCAACCCAAATCCATGTTTGACAGAGATAAAATTCACTGTTCACTTTCATTGTACAGACGCCTTAGGAATGTCTTTGACAATTCCAGAAACTCCTGCCGTAGCAGAGTCCATACCTGCACCTGAAAAAATTCAAGCAACATTTCTCTGAGAATGATCATTTAGCACAAATTTTGTTAAAGGATTTTTCTGTCAATAAAATGCAAAATTGGTGAATATTTAGAAAACAACAATTATTTTGCTGAAATAAGTTAACAGTTATGCAAAAATATAATTAAGTTATACATGAAGTTGATTTCTTATTCATCCAGATTTTGACAGCTCGTGATCAAAATGCCAGGCATGAAATGGTCACTCAGTATGTGCCCTTTTTTTCTGCCTTTCTTTTTCAGAATAATATTGTTAGTCAGTTGCTCATTCACTGTATTGCTGAAGCATCCATTGCACAGACCCCTTCATGTTGATTCATTCATGCACGATAAAGCAAATGTCTCCCGTGGTTGGCGGGAATTGATGTTTTTACCCATTTTTTACCCTTGTAATTATTGGCAGGGACCTCAAATATCAGTTCCTGTACAGATGAGTAATGGAATATAGATCGCTCTTTATTATGAGGTTACGGGAGAGAGAGGGCCTTGCCCCTGGGGATTCCCAGGCCCACACTCCCTAGCATACACACTAACCACCCGAGGTTGCCCAGTCCATACTCGAGAGTGCCCGGGTCCTGCTCTGGCTGCTCCGACCTTGCGCTGCTCCTCTCCCTCAGCTGACTTTGCGTCCCCCACACTCTGCCAACCCCAGGCCCCTCAACCAGCAGATTTGACCATCTTTTTGCCAGGCCCCTGCCTCCTGCCTCTGTCCCTATCATTGTACTCTTCCCCTCTGGGTCCATAAATCTTGCACCTTCCTCCAGTTGGGTCCATAAATCTTGCACCTCCATGGCGGTTCCTCCTTGTGTCTGGCTCGTGGTCCAGGTTGGTCCCCCCCTAAGCCCAGGAGGAACCGTGTCTGTCCCATGACTGGGGTCACAGAGGAGACCCTCTCTGAAGTGTCTTACTGAGGCCACAGACCCTGCAGCCGGCAGCCTGAGCCTCATCTGCCCTGGGGCTCACATGAGCCTCCTCTCCAACCCTGACCCCCGCTCCTGAGGCTTCTGGAGGGTCTCAGAGGGGCTTTCAGCCTGACCCCACGCCTCTCCTACCTTCAGGCCAGGGCACTGGCATGCGCTTTATCAGGGCTCTTAAGAGGGACAGCTGGTTTATGTGACGGGCCAGCTCCCTCTGTGTCCCCGCATATCTGCTGGGGTTTTAAATAGCGTCTTGAGCAACTGGCCCAGCACATGGGCTTATAAGGCATGGGGTCTTGTCCCTTTAGGTCTGTGCCTGGCACCTGCCCAAATAATAGCCAACACCCCTCCCCATGGTGCCTCCCACCCCTGGGGTGTCCCCCCTCCCATGTCTCCTGCTGCAAGTTCCTCCCAGGGCAGGGCAGGGCTTGGCTCCCCAGGCCTCAGCCCGCCTGCCGCTTAAAGCCCTTCCCAGCCCCTGCCTCCCCCAGTCCTGCCCAGGCTGAGCAGACACCTGAGGCCCTGTCAGCAGCTCCTATTCTGAGGTAAGGCTCGGGCAGGATGCTCGAAGGGGGAGAGCAGACAGTGGGGACCAGCTTTCCAGGGGCTTAGCCCCTTGACCCCAAATCAGCCTATGTCCCCTCGGGGTGAGGCTGGTGGTAATGGAGGTCTTGGTTCCTGGACAGAGCCACACATTTGAGGGGATGTCAGGACAGGAGCAGCAGTGGGGCACAAGAGTCCCTGTCGGAACCCAGACTTGGGGTCAGTCCTGGTCCAGAAGGTCCTTCTTGGGCCCCACAGAGCAGAGCCAGACTGCAGTGCCATTGGCCCTGGTTGTCCAGTTCTCATCCCCAAGAAACAGAGGGCCCTGATGAAGACCAGACACCCGAAGCAGGCAGTGGTCTCTGGCCGCTTCCCCAGAGCCACCCCAGGCATGGCCCCACAGCCCAGGCTCAGCAGCACAGGGCTCAGGGGCCCAGAACCCTCTAGAGGTGTGGGCTCAACTGCTGGCTCCCCAAGTATTATCCCTGAGTCTAGCGCTGCCCTCCCCCTACCCCCCCCCCGCCGACCCTGCAAGTGTGACTCTTGCCCCACTGCACCCCAACATGCCCGTGAGAACAGACCTGCTCTGTACTGGGACTGGTGGAGGCAGCAATACCTCCTAGTTTCTCAGCTTCCCTTGGTGGGATGAAGAGATATTTGGGGAGGGGCTGCCTGGAGCGGAAGGAATTTCAAAGAACATTCCTGGCCTAGTGCAGGAGGAGCACTGACCTCCCCAATTCCTCCTCTGGAGGATCCGGGAGGCTGAAGTTACCTTCTTCCTCCTTTCTCCGCATCCGATTCCTCCTTCCTTCTCCCCTGTCTTCTAGTTCTCTTAAGGGGCCGGGGCTGACAGCTTGGGATGGAAAAAAGATTCTGAGTAAATGTTGAGGACAAGGGTTGAGGGTTGGGATTTACAATCCTCAGAAACTCGGCGACTGTTTCTTTAAGACATTTATTTATTTTCTAGATCAGTTAACTGAAGCCCAGAGAGGTTAAGTGACTTAGTTTTGGTCACACAGCAGAAGTTGGGTTTTCAGCCCAGATCTTATGACCAGTATTCCTCTGGTTTCTCTTATTTTTGTTTTCTCACTAGAAAAGGTGATCTTTTATCTTGTCTGCGAGGAAGTTATGTGAGGAAGGGTCTGGAAGCAGGTAGGTTTGGATGTGAGGACACAGGACACTTAGGACTTCATACCTCTTACAGGGAGTTCTTGACTGTCTCCCTAGTGGGACCCCCAGCCTCAGCCTTTCCCCTTCCCTATCTTCAGACCTGACTAGAGTAATTGGCTTGGCAGCCCTTCTGGGTTGAAGGCACCCTCCCTCAATGGTCAGCGTACTGTGTTAGGAGCAGGGTGGTGAGTGCACAAGAGGGCCTGGTGCGCACAGTCAGTCCTCCAGTGTGTCCTCTGGCCAGGCAGCCACAGCAGCGCCAAGCCTCACAGCAGCAGTTTCACAGAAGCGGGAACTGGGGTGGAGGGAGGCCGGGTGCCCTCCCCAGGTCACATGCAAGGTGAGATGGAGCCAGCATTTAAAACCTGATTAGTCACACTCAAGTGCCTGCTCTTTCCCCCTCCCCTCTCTCTGTAATGACACAGAAGTTCCAGTGAAACCTGGCAGGTGCAATGCCTTTCACGGCCACCATGTCACCTGGTCCATGCAAAGGTCCCCCGCAGCAAGGGGTGTCCCTGTGTCTCCACAGTGCAGAGACACCTCAACAGAGAAGATGAGGGTCTTCCCTGCACTGTGTTTAAAGGTGTGTTAAAGGGACCTCCCTGGTGGTGTGGGGGTTAAGTCTCAGCACTATGAAGCTATCGGCAGCCACTGCAGCACGAGTTCAATCCCCAGCCAGGGAGCTACCCACATGGCGCAGCAGACCTCTCTTGTCTCCCCGCTGCTCCCCTCAGCAGTGTATTTCAGTAGATCCACCTGTTCTGCTCCCCACTCTGTCTCTGGTGAATCATCTCACCCCCTGTACCTCCTGTCTGCACCCGGTTCTTGTATGCATAAATAAAGATAAATCTTTAAAAAAAATAAAGTTGTGTTAAAGACTTTCGCAAGGGAGGAGGTTGAATCTGGATTGTCTGTTGCATCACAGTGGGGTCCTCTCAATCCGAGTTTCCCAGGGAAACTTTATTAAGAGGAATTTTTATGGAGATAGTGATAGATCGGCCTGTGCTTGTAAGAAATGACAATCCCTGTGTGCACTGCCCTTTATCCAGCGCTCACAGCCAATCCATGACCTTATATAGATCCCCCCAACTTGTACTCGGGTGTGTGTGTGTGTGTGTGTGTGTGTGTGAAATTCAGCACAATTTTAGCCTGTGTGAGTTCATGTGTGATCAGCCAACAGCTCGAAAACCTCAGCCATCTCTCTCTCTTTTTTTATTTTAAGATTTATTTATTTGTTTATACAAGCACTGGGTACAGTCAGAAGCGCGAGAGGGTGAGAGAATTCACCAGAACAGGCAGGCTGATGAAATACACTGCTGAGGGGAGCAGCGGGCGTGGCAGGAGAGGTCTGCGCGCCACATGGGACCCTTGCTGGTGGCCGGGGATCGAACCGGTGCTGCAGAGGCTGTGGGCAGCTTCGCAGCCCAGCGCTCAACCGCTGCGCCACCAGGGGAGGCCCGAGAGTCACCGTTTTTGACCCAAACGCTGAAATGCCAAAGTCTGCTCTTTTGGGACAGTGACATGGGTGCTGGCTGTGGTCTTGCTGTGGGGTGGGTGTCGTACCCCCTCAAGAGGCAGAAGCTCGCTACAGACTGCAGGTCACGGACAGAGGCGCACTTACACCACAGCGCTCTCTGGTCTGGATCCTCTGCTGTGGCGAGGAGCGCGGCTGCCCCTCCCGCTCACAGGGACATCTTTCTCTCCCGAGGGCACGCAGAAGCCATGTCTGACCAGGAGGAGGCCCTGGAAGAGTGTGAACAGTGAGTACACAGAACGTACTGCCTGGGGTGCTGCCCTCTGCCCACCTGGCCCAGGAGCTCCCTGGGGTGGGGCATAGCTGTGCCTGTCTGGGCACTAGAGAAGGGACATATCCCCTTCGTTTCCTTGTCTGGGGCTGGGGACCCCAAGCTAACCACAGGCTGGGGGCCATTAGGGAGTAACCAGTTTCAGCTGCTGACGACAGAGAGAGAAGAAAGTGGGAAGGACTTTCAAGAAGGGATACAGCCCGGGAGAGCTCAGAGGTGACTTGCAGAACTAGGAGACAAGCCAGGAGAGAAGAACCCAGAAGCTGAGTCTCCTGATAAAGGATCTAGAAAGATTCAGTGACTGTCCAGTAGACACAGCCGATCATGCCATGAGACCCCCCGGCCCCCCGCCCACCAGAGCTCAGCATTCTCCCATCACCAAGAGCCACCCTCCCAAGGGTGCCCTTTCCACACTCCTGTGCTGGAGGCACCCTGTGGGGTGGCAGGTGCTGGGTCACTGTCAGCCAACCCACTATGGTCTCTGGGGAGTGGTCACTGGGGATAACAGAGGTGTGGGCAACAGCTCCTGCCCCTATGGAACTGACTCTTCTCTGTCTGTGGAGATGTGAAGAGTTGGAAGCCACCAGTAAACTGGAGCCCATCTGGAAACTGGGCTGTGTGTAGTGCTGCATGGGGGAGGGGACCTCTGGGGACTGCAGCAGTCAGAGGAGACTGCATGGAGGAGGCAGGTCTTACCAAATGGGGTTTGGACAGAGAGAGAAGAAAGTGGGAAGGACTTTCAAGAAGGGATACAGCCCGGGAGAGCTCAGAGGTGACTTGCAGAACTCCGAGGGACCAAACTGGCTAAAGTAGAGGTTCTCAGGGTCAGTAGATGGAGCCCTGCACCAGGATGCTGGAGGGTTAAGGGGTGCATGAAGGGGGAGATGCGTGAACTCCATTAGGCAATGCAGAAAATAAATGGGATTTTTCCAGTCTGTGTGTGTGCCTCTGTGTGTGTGTCTGTGTGTGCTCGTGCATTCTTGACAGTATCTTCTGCTCTGCAGGGAGCAGGAAGGTAAGCACACACCTCCACTCATTTGGAGGAAGGACAGCCTGGTTTGGAACTGACCCATCTCTTCTCTTCTCTCCCTGGCGGCGACCATCTCCTCTGAACAGAAGAAGCTGTGGAAGGTATATGGGGCCTGGGGGAAGAAGGTCACAAAGGAGTTGTCCTTGGGACCCAGTGTTGCTGGGGGCACTGGGAAACAGTTAGCCTGTTCAGCTTGTCCCCTCTCTCTCAGCTGGGCAAAGATCCCGCCGCCACGGCTCCTGAGCAGAATCCGTCCAAACCTTGGTTGCTCAGCTCTTAAGGCAAAAGGTTTAAAGCTCTCTACTCCGCCGTTTTGTTCAAACACCATCACCACTTTTTCCAAATATTAGATTTGCTTTCCTTTCCTTTAATTTTATTTTACCTGGAAAAGTTTCAAATGCATGTTAAAGAAGCAAATTAAGAACGTCCCCCCACCATAGCTTTGTCAAATATCAATCTCTGTTTACCTGTGCCCTGCCAGAGATTCCCAGCAGGTATCCAAAATAATTCCCAGATATCATGCCATTTCATGCTTAAATATTTCAAAATGTGTCTCTAAAGGAGGCTATTGAGAAAAACCATAATACCATTGCCATACACAAAAACAATCAATTTTGTAATTTTTCAAGTAAGATTCTGAATAGAAAATTGTTCATTTAGCAGGAAAATTTATATTTTTATTATTGCCTGCCTGGGGGGTGGGACTGTAGGTCCTTGTGATTCCTGCTTTTCCATGTTGACAGCTGCGCTGCCCAGCATGGCCCATCTGGCCACTGCAGCCGACCCTGACCTTTCCTTCCTCCTGAGCGTGTCATGCAGGAGTGATGAAGAGGCTCCCCTCCAGCCTCACCTGGCCCCAAGTGGTCCAAAACGCTTTCAGCACCTCTGTTCCTGTACCCCAGGCGGGACAGAAGTGACTTAGTGGCCCCACAGACACTCAGAAGTACCCCATCAGCACTCGGAGTGTGAACGTCAAGGGGAGGACACCATAGAGGTCCAGGGCAAGAGTTGGGGTGGGGTCAGTAGCTGCTGGTCCTGCTTCCTGTGTCTTCTAGGGAAAATGGGGGACCTCTTGCACATTTCAGGCTGTTCAGGGGCGTCTGGTTTAAGAGGCGTCATAAGAGGAGCTCACAGGAGAAGCAGAGGGGCTGTGGGTCCCTTTTGGTTTCCCAGGAAACCCAATCGCTTCAGAGCTATTTGAAATAACTTTGGATCAAAAATCTACCCCCAGATTCTGCTGTGTTCCCTGCACAAGACTCTTAGTGTGGTGGGTCTTCCCTTGCTTGAGGGTTTTGCCAGCTCACAATAGGCATTTTGGGTGAGGTTTGAGATGCGGACATCTGGACTGGGGACCAGGCTGCTTGCTACACCAGCAGAGGTTGGCTGTGAATTAACGAGGTAATTCCCTGCTGCGAGCAACCCGCTGGGCTCAATGTCGCATCTGCCTTGCTTGCTTGAACAGACGACAGCTGCCTCCTGCGCGCGGGCCCCTGGCGTGAGTGACCAAGGCAGCAGAGGCGTGCCTGTCCCCTAAGCCCGGGTGTGGACAAGTCATGTCACCTCCTCCCAGAGTGAGAGGGAGCCCATTGCTGGATGCTCCGTCCTGGAGCGGGTGTTCTAGATGCAGTTGCTTCCTATGTCAGGTCTCCCCTAGAAGGGCAGCTGCATGGACAGAGGCAAAGCGCCTGGCGCTGGTTCTCCTGTGGGGCTTTCCGAGCTGTGATCCTGCAAACGGCACACATTTTGGGTGATATCCAAGAGGATGATTCAGGGGGACACTTGATGTGAGTTAATTGCTGCCCACTCTGTCTTTTGGGGCCTCTGGTGTTGTGAGAGGGGAGCAGAGTCCCATGTCTAGAGGCAGGGCAGGAGCGGCCTGTTGCTCCCCACAGACTACTCAAGCCCTTAATCTTTCCATAGGGGTAGTGAGGACAATTACAGCTGACCCTGGGACCAGGCAAGGGGTTAGGGGAGCTGAACCCCACGCAGCCGAAAATAGACATGTAACTTATCCTGGGCCCTCTGAGCCTGCAGGTTGAGCCTGTGAGTTCACAGACTGTGCGGAGAAAAAGATGTGTGTAAGTGGATCTGAGAGGCCGAAACCTCTGTGGTTCAAGCCAAGTGCATTTCCCTTTCACTCACGAGGCCCCTGAGACCCAGGGAGGCCCCTGGGAGGGGGCTGTCCATGGAGCTCCGGTGGTAGCTGGGCAGTGAGCACCCAGCCGGCCTGGAGGGCCCACTCCGCACACCGCGCACTGACCACTCTGTCGCTATCCCTCTGTGTCCAGACTAACCTGTCTTGCTTCTCCCCTTGCCGCTGCTGCTGCCTGAACCTCAGAGGAGGAAGACTGGAAAGAGGACGAAGACGATGGTAGTACAGCCTGCTTGCTCTGTGCTTTCCCCCCCTGCTGTCCTCTGAGCACCTTCTAGAAGGGGTAGGGGGTGGGGGTGGGAGAGGGTAGGTGGGGCCTGGGCCAGCACATCCATCTTCAGAGAGATTAGGCCTGCGTTTCCGAGCTCTTCTCTGAGTCTCTTTGGGCACTGCTCCTTCCCCGGCTACCATCCCACCCTGGGCTGGGGGTTGGAAGGCCCAGGATGGCTTGTCGCCCATCCTACACCACATGAGTCTGCATGAGTGACTGACTCTGCCCCAATCTGTGTTCTGTAGTGGACACTCCTGAGCTGGACAGCTCCCAGGCAGGGTGGGTAGAGCATGAGGACCTGGCATCAAAGTCATCTGATGAGCAGCTGGGAGATCTGGAAGTGGCCAGAGCAAAAAGGACATGATGTCAGCCTTCAGCGGTGTCCTGCTGGGGACAAGAGCTGGGACTGTCCTCTTGTCCAATGATAGGACTGGGGCCAGGGAGACAGACTGAGGCTTAATTTTTGAAGGAGCTTTGTCACAGTGATGTCCCATGATGGGTGGGTGGCCTGGGAGGCAGTCAGTGCCCTGTCATTGGGGGTGTTGGGGGGTCCCTGAGGGGGGTGTCTACAAGAAATGAAACATCAGATGGGATGGGGAAAGGTGTTAACAGGGTGGCCTGGAGGTGGACTCCACAACTGGATATATCCTTGCCATCCTGTTCTCTACTCTCACCATTCTAGAAGGGCCTTCTCTGAGGCAAGGCTTTTGTAGGAATCAAAGAAGAGGTATTTCCAGGCCTCAGAGCAGACTCAGGGAAAGAGAACAAGAAGGATGGGGGCAGAAAGAGTGGGCCTAGGTTTCTGGCCTATGGGCTCCTTTCAGCCAGAGGCCTTCCCCTCCCACTGCCTGGAGGCCTCCACCAAGAACTTGCCCGGAAGAGCCCTGCGCTGTCTCACTTCACCATTGTGGGGGCCATGTATGTGAAACAAATATGAAGATGGAAACTCGTGCCAGCTTTCTAGACACCCAACCCAACTCCCACTAGCTTGCTTTTTGGTTTCTTTTAGATACAGAAAAGGGTCTTTAGCATGACCAGGGCAGGAGCTTCCCAGACACCTCCCCTTGAGCAGACCACAGGCTTTGATCACTGGGCAGAAAGTAGGGGAGTGGGGTGGGGGGCTGTTGGAGAAAGGGGAGCTAAGTCAGGCAGAGAAAGTCAGGGACTCCCCCTACCCCCAGCAGGGTCCTTTGCTGGGCCTGCCCTCTGCCCATCGAACCCTAACCTGGGACTCCTGCCTCAGGGTGCTAGACCCTCATCACACTAGCAGAGTAGGTCTTCACACTGGGAAAGGGCCACTTCTGATCCCAAACTCCCAAGGAGACAGATTTAGAACAAAACGCCTTCATGCCCTCCTGACCCGGTTTCCCAGGGCCCAGCAGACTATTTCTGTAAAGGACAGGTTCTAATATTTGAGGTCTTGTGGGCCACACAGTCTGTGTTGTAACTACTTGTCTCTGCTCTTGTAGCATGAAAACAGCCAAAGGCCATACATCAATGAATGTTTGTGGCTGTATTCTAATAAAACTTTATTCACAGAAATGATCTGGGGACCGGATTTGGTCCTGGGTCAAACATTGTTTGCTGACTTCTGGTTTCAACCCAGAACTGAGCAGTCCCAAGCATTCGCATTGGTTATGCCCATGTTCATCTTGAACCCGGATATCCCCATCCACTCTGTTCTATGTCTGCTGGCATAGGCAGGGCCTGGCTGTTCACTATGTCTGGTTTGCTTCTCCAGAGCAGGAAGAACAAGCAGAAGAGGCCGAAGGTGAAGCTGAAGGTGAGGATGAAGCTGAGGAGACCAATGTGGAAGGTAAGGCTCTGTGGTGAGGGTGTGGGGGGCCTTTCATGGTGTCACAATCTCTCAAAGCCGTTGCCATGGTGATAAGAACTCCCCTGGGACATTCTCTTTGATCAGTGCAACTATGCTCGACTGTGGTGTCTGACCTGAAATTGTCCTAACTATGAGCCAGAACCGTGTGCTCCTTTCCATGGATGTGGACATGGCATGTGACAGACAGCTCCCTGGCTTCATAATCCAGCAGGGTGCACTCTAGTTAGGACCTCTTCAAGGGCTGGCCCTTGGCAGAGGGACTTGGGCTCAGAAGAAATATCTTTGTTGACTAATCTTGTTCTGTTTAGGAGATGCACAAGAAGAAGAAGAAGCTAAAGAGACTGAAGGTGAGGACTATTAGACACCAAGAGAAAAGATTTGGGATGACAAATGAACCCCTCCAAGCACCTTGGGGGGAGACTGCCAACAGGGCTTCCTCTGGGCAGGTATGGGAGAGAGGCTCAGGGAAGGAGAGAACTCATGGTGATGCTGGTTTTGGATGAGGGTCTCTAAGCCTCTGCCCTTCTTCTGGAGCAGCTGCTTTAGGGACCCAGTGGAAGAAAGTTCTAGTATCCTGGCCCCTGCTGAGTGGGGTGCTCAGGAGTCACGTCTACACCTGTGGCTCCCTGGAGCTCCCAAAATTGCTTTATGGGTTTATGTTGGAATACAGCCATGCTGCAGCCTTTACAAGGAGACCAGGGGGTCCTAGCTATGTTTCTGGAGAGGAGGGTCCCCAGCGGGGGTCTGGAATCATGCCATCAGCTTCCTGGACCTGTGGCTACCATGAAATCCTGGGGGAACCAAGGAAGGAATACTTGGGAGGGGATCTGGAGCCCCAGGAGGCCATGGCAGGGATCCCCAGGCTGTAGGGGATACTGTACAAACAGAAAATGGAGCCCACACTTAAGCAGATTGTGAGGGCAGAGCTGGGGCCAGATCTGGGGCCTCCTGACCCTGTGACTATGTGCTTCTCTTCTCCCCAGATGGCCCAGTGGAGGAGTCCAAACCCAAGCCTAGGTGAGTGGACACTCCTGTCATGAAGTCCGAGGAACAGAAGCCAGCAAGGGAGAATGATTAGAACAGGACAGGAATGCAGGGCCCACTGGGTGTGGACTGGAAGTGTGTTGGGCACAGACTACCTGTACAGTTGTACAGGTTGTGTACTGCACAAAGGTCTGTCCTGATGGAGAGAGTAGGAGATGAAATCCATTCCACACTCCATTACTAACTGCACACCCTGGCACAGCGGCACTGTATTCACCTAGAGGAAAGAGATGGGTCATTGCACTGGGCAGATACCCCCTCCTATCCACAGATGGTTAGAGAGCCTGCCTTTGTATCTGAGGCTGGTCCTGGGGGAGGAGGGAAGAAAATTTGGGGGAGCCGTCAATGAAACCATGCCAGCCTAGGCTTTGCAATGAGTTGCAAAGGGGTGGGGTGGGGTGCTTAGTCCCATACACATAAAATCACCACTGTGGGTGTTGGTGTGGTAGGGGCCACATGGCTTCCTGTTGTTGGTGCTGCACCCACCAGCAGATGGCGCCTCAGCACAGCTTAGGCTTCTGCCCCGCTGGGTGACCTCCTGAACCACCCCAGACCAGAAGGGACCATCCAGGCTGCTTCTTTAGGGCAGCACCTTCCCTTTGCAGTGTCTCATTTCAGCTCCTCACAAGTCTGAGGGCAGATGGGGAAACAAAGGACCAGTACACACTGGGCCGGTGACACACAGCAAGGGGCCAAATTGCTAGAAAGGGTTCAGGGCAGTTTCTGCGGGGTCCACCCACAGACTGAGATAAGCTTCTCTGCCCTCACTGTGCGGTTTTGAGCAAGTCTCTGCCTGAGTCTCAGTTTTCCGAAATAAGATGAATGGTACCTGCTTTGTGGTATGTTGTGAGTAGAAATGACACATAGCGAGAGCCCTCTGGGTGTTCCCAGGGTAAGCTGGGCTGTGACAGCACAGCAAGGTCATGGATGGGGTCAGCTGTGCCGGGGAGGCTGTCTCTGCAGGGGAAGGATGTTCCAGGCCCAGGCCCCTCGGCACCCCAGACCCTGGGCAGTGTTGATGCTGGCGACTCCTTCTTTCCAATAGACCGTTTATGCCCAACTTGGTGCCACCCAAGATCCCCGACGGAGAGAGAGTGGACTTTGACGTGAGCTCTGGTTTCAGGGGAGCAGGCCTACCTGGGGTGGACTCAAGAGCGCCTAAGGGAGAGACCTTGTGACCTTGTGGGCAGGGGAGGCTGCAGGTGGTGTCCCCTTGGGTCAGGCTGCAACCTCTGGGTTCAGCCCACATTTGCCCTTTTGTGGGCAGGCCTCACCTCTGGCACTGCACATCCCTTTTGCATCGAGAAGGGTGGTTTCTATTCACCCATCTCTGCCCTGAGCTCAGGGGTGAAGCACCTCTGACCTGGTGGTGCCCCCCAGGACATCCACCGGAAGCGCATGGAGAAGGACCTGAACGAGCTGCAGACGCTGATTGAGGCTCACTTTGAGAACAGGAAGAAGGAGGAGGAGGAGCTCCTTTCCCTCAAAGACAGAATCGTAGGTGTCCAGTCTCCCAGGGGAACATTGCTAAGCCCCCTCTCTGGCTTCCCCTCTGTGTTCAACCACCTTCTCCAGGCAGCCTTCCCTGGAGCCCCTAACACCGCTGGAAGTGGGCTGTCCGTCAGGACCCTGCTGCTCCAGCTGCACCCAAGGCCCTGCCCTGGGGCTCCTGGTTCCTGCCTTGTCTCTCCTTCTGGTTCAACCACCTGTCTATCCTGGGCACCCCACCCGCTTCTATGCCCAAGCCCTGGCTGTGGATGACTCTGATGCCTGTGACCCTTCTCTGCCCTGGCCTCCTTCCCAGCCAGCACAACTCCCCCCACTGACGAAGGGGGATGCGTTGAGCTCCTAGTCATGAGCAGGGAGGTTATTTCCATTCCTCTTTTTTCTCTCCAACCGACTTGCCCTTCCCTGGGCCTGCTGCTTGACTGGCAGCTGGGCCTTGGCCACCTGTCTGAGCACCCAGCAGCTGCCAGGGTGGGGCCAGAGGGTAGTGCTGTGGGGGGACAGGAGCAGCTTGCCTGGCATTTTCTGAATTGTTGGAGATGATCCCACAGCGACGGATGTCCAGCAAGTGCTGGGGCACAGGCTTGGGTGCTGGCAGGTATTTTCCCGGAGCAGCTTTGTCTGCACCTGTCTGGGAGTGGTGAAGAGCAAAACCTTTGGAGGAAGTGCATTTTCAGGCCTTGGGTTCCCTTGCCACTCTTCCCCTGATTGGTGCCTGCACCCCGTGACTAGGGGTCCCCCTGGCAGCCTTGCAGGCTTCCCATTTTTCCCATAGGAGAAGCGGCGGGCCGAGCGGGCGGAGCAGCAGCGCATCAGGAATGAGCGGGAGAAGGAGCGCCAGACCCGCCTGGCTGTGAGTGACCCAGCGCAAGGCTCACAGAGCCCCCTGTGCTCCCAGATCCCAGGCCTCTCTCTGTTCAAGGACATGGACTCAGTCAAGAGGCAGCAAGTACCTCATGAGCTGGGCCGTGTTTTGGCTCAGATGATGCACATGGGCCAGACAGAAAGCTCTGACTCCTTTAGTGGCTGGCATTAAGACCCCTCGGCCCTCCTCCCTGCCCCAGCGTGGGTGCCCTGGGAACTAGAGGCTCCAGAGCCTTCTTCCTGTGGTGCTGTTGCTGAAGCCCTTCCAAAGCAACAGGCTCTTGGGGTGCTCACAGCCGAGGGGCCGGTGGGACCTCTCAATCAGGAAGCAGGACCTCATTCATCCAGCCAGTCATTCTTCACTTGGTCAAGAAACAAAAGTTGCCCCACTCCGGTGTGCCAGGCCCTAGGCTGGGGAGGTCTCAGCAAGCTTCTCACCCAGGCAGGGAAACCCAACTCAGCTCCCCCCTAAACGCCTCCAGCTCCAGCAGGGTTTCCTGCCCCTACCCCTAATTTGCTCCCTTCCTCCTGCCTCCACACCAGGAGGAGAGGGCCCGGCGAGAGGAGGAGGAGAACAGGAGGAAGGCTGAGGACGAGGCCCGGAAGAAGAAGGCTTTGTCCAACATGATGCATTTTGGAGGCTACATCCAGAAGGTACGTGGGGGGCAGGGTCTTCAGGGGGTCCTGGTACAGCAGGAGGAGTGAGGTATCCACTGCGGCAGAGGGGCTGCCCTTGGACCTGAGGAGAAATTCCCTGCCACTGTGGGTGAGAGGTGCGGCCTGGGGCTGCTCTCTGCCTGGCGGCAACTTCACTGTGAGACTGGCTGGGGCTGCTGCGGGCAGAGGCCTGGAGACCTGCTCCTCTCACCGGGTTGCGGTGTTGCCCGGTGGCCCCAGGTGGCTGCGTGTGGCCAGAAGAGCCCTATGCCTGCTGAGAGCTGTGCTTGGAGACCCAGATGGGACACATGTGTACACACACACACACACACACACACACACACACACACAGCCTTCTGCAACCTGGGAGCCTCCATTTCTCACGGGACGCTGGGCTTCCTATTACCCTGCCTGCTCTGAGATCATCCAGCCAGCTAGCGGGCAGAGTGCCCGTGCTGCGGATTTGGTGTTGTTCTTGGAACACAATTCCTAGCTTTTGTGCCCCAGTCTGACGATATGTCCATCCTCCAGGGCCGCAGGAAACATGAAATGGATATTCTCCATGCAGGGGGATCAGAGTGTTTCCCTAGATTTCTAAAGTCCTAATCAGAACCAGGCCTGCCAGCCTGCCTCCACCCCAAGGTGGCCACGCCAGCCCCTCTGCAATTGCTCTACCTCCCACCCGCCCAGGCTCCCGTCCTGGTGAGCCGGGGGCTCTGGTGAGCAGGGGGCTCCAGTGAGCCTCTGCGTGACCTTCTCCTTCTCCCTCTGTGTCTGTCTGCCTTTGTCTCCCGCCCTGTCCCTGTCCTCTCTCTGCCTCTGTCCTGTTCTGAGCTTTCTATCCGGGTCTTTATCTCATGGTGTCCTGGTTCTGCAGGCCCAGGTGGGTACCAAAACCTCCTCTTCCTCCTCCTCAGAGTCCTGGGAGCTCCCTGGAGGGAGGCATGTGGCTATTGGGCAAGGTGGGCCGGAGAAGTCTGGAGAGAGATGGGGGTGTTGGGGGAGGTACTGAAGAAGGGACAGAATGACAGTCCTCGCTCTTGCCTGAGTCCCCAGGGACCCAGGCAGTCAATGGTGCGGGGTAGCAGGGATAAGAGGACCAGAACCGGCTCCTTCTGCAGGCCTTGCCCTGCTCCCCACTGGGTTTGGGGAAGGGTGCGGGATGGTGGGAGATTGGTGGGGGATCCTCTAGCCAATTCCCCTTCTTGCCATTTACTCCAGACTGAGCGGAAAAGTGGGAAGAGGCAGACGGAGCGGGAAAAGAAGAAGAAGATTCTGGCTGAGAGGAGGAAGGCGCTGGCCATCGACCACTTGAATGAAGATCAGCTGAGGTGGGCCAGGGCTGGTGCCCAGGGGCGGCCAGTGCATGGGGAGGGTCAGGGCACCCCCACAGGGCAACAGCAGGGGGCGCTGCCTCCTGACCAATTTTCCAAGGGCGCTGGGTTGGGTCAGTTGGGTGTCTGCTTTGCTGAGAGGGAGAGAGAGGGCTGAGCAGGTACCTCACCTGTCTGAGCCTCACCTAACTCCCCTGCACACAGGAGGTGGAGAGGGAAACGAGCCGGGTGCTCTGCAGTGCCACAGGGTCTCTCCCTCTCCTCTGGCCCCAGAACTTTGTCCTGCAGCCCCTGCTGCCCTTTCCTCAGCTCTAGACACTGCCATTTGGATTTGGGGCCCTGTGCTGGCCAAGCCCTTAGGGTGGGGGCAACCCCCAATGTAATCCCTGCAGGCTGGAGGTGGGAAGGAGGCTGTCCCCCTGGGGGGCCAGGTGGGCATCTGGATAGAGGTGGGTGGCACCCTGATCCCCCAGCCCAGCCTCACTGCAGCCTTTTCCACAGAGAGAAGGCCAAGGAACTGTGGCAGAGCATCTACAACCTGGAGGCAGAGAAGTTCGACCTGCAGGAGAAGTTCAAGCAGCAGAAGTATGAGGTGAGCCAGCTCCTTGCACCCCCAAGCTCCCATCCTCTCCGTTTGTTGGGGTTTGCAGTCTGTTGCCCTTCAGGCACCTTTTCCTGTCCCTGCTCCTCAGCACCCCCAATCCCGCCTGCTGCCTCCTTTCCTACAGTCCTGGGTGCTTGCCAGGGCCATTGCTTGCTGGGTTTGAGCACCCCAAACTTGGGGGGCTCCCTGCCTTTCCAGGCCACACTGAACCAGGCCCCTGGGGCCTCTCTGGACCCCTGATTATTCTCACTCTCATAGTATTACTTTCCTTCTTCTCCCCTCTCTTCCTCCTCCTCTTTCCCCAACCTTCTCCTTCCCCTCCTGCTCCTCCCTCTTCTTCTCTCTGCTGCTGAGCCCCCTTCTCCTTCGCCCCCAGCCTACCTGGGACCTCAGCAAATCAGCTCCCACATTAGCCTGTTTCCCACTTTACTTCCAGATCAATGTTCTCCGAAACAGGATCAACGATAACCAGAAAGTGTAAGTGTCTGGGCCCCTCCTGGTCTGCACCGCACCCCCCATCTCCCGGCATCCCACCAACCTTCTCCTCCCCTGGGTCCTCCTCTCCCCCTTGGCTGTTGCTCACTGATGGGGAGTGGGGTGGGGCCAGAGAGGTCTCACTGCAGCCGCCCTTGGCCCTTGGCCTAGCTCCTCCCAATGGAGCCCTGCTGCCCTGTGTGCCCTCTGACGGTCCTGCTCCTCTTGTAGCTCCAAGACCCGAGGCAAGGCCAAAGTCACTGGGCGCTGGAAGTAGAGGCAGCAGCCTCCTTAAAGGATGAGCCTCCTTCACCAGAGATGTTCTCCTGGCCATGTCCCTGTCCTGCATGTCCCCAGCGCCGGGCCTCCTGGGCACCCGAGGGAACTCCTCGTGGAAGCTCCTCGTGGAAGCTCCTCGTGGAAACCAGGGGCTGGCCCAGCGGAAGCCACTGCCCGCGCCCCGCCCCACACGCCCCCACCACACCACTAATAAAGAGTCACCACACACCTAATGGCAATTCTGTCACTTCTCCTTCAGAGGGGGGAGAAACTGAGGCAAGACCCAGTCTCACAGGGGGTCAGGGTGCACAGTATAGACCTGCAGAGACGTAGCCCCTGCTTCCGGCAAACCTGGACACGCTCTCGCCTGTCTGACTCCCTCCTACCAGCGTTGGCCAGGAAAGGCTGGGATGCTTCAGGGGCCAGTGGGGAGGGGGCACCAGCTACAGAAAGGGCTTGTCACGTCAGCGCTGAGTCACCAGGGCTCACCCAGCAGTACTGCAGTCCAGGGGGATGGATGTGCCCTGCCTGAGTCACCCCTGGGAACCGGGAAGGCCTCCTCTGAAGGTCCTGCCTTCTCCCCCTCCTGGCCAGGGCTATAAGGAGTGGGCATCTGGGAGGTAGGGCGCCCTGAGGAAGGAAGGACGGCCAGTTCACTGGGCAGTCTGATTTGCCAAGAGGGGAGGGCTGGCCTGGCTGCCTCGGTTCCCGCTTTCTGTGATCTGCATGTCCTCTTGGGCTTGAACTATAACCTGGGGACCACAGGGGCTGTGCTGAAGAGGACAGCCTGTAGCGTCCATCCAGTTGGCAGAAGGCCAGGGAAGCGAGGTGGGATGAGACTGCCGTGTTCCCCAGCGCTGCAGCATAAGCCGGAAGGAGTCCTCCCGTGTCTGTCTGAGCCCTGGCTCGGCCTTTCCCTCTGCCTGGAGGTCTCCTGTTCTCCACTGTCAGCCCCCCAAAGGGCACTGAGAAAGTGTTGTCCCCAGCAGGCTTCCCAAGCTCTGCCCCACTGAGTGAGCCTTCTGGACCCTGCTCTGGCCGTGCTCACAGGAATGGAGCGCACAGCCCAGTGGGGGAGAGGCACAAAGAGAAGATTCCAGATCACTGTACTCGTAGGTGAGGATGAGTCACACCACCTGGCCCCGGCGCAGGGGCTTTCCAGAGGAAAAGATGTCTACACAGAGGGTGTCTACACGGAGGGTGTCTACATGGAGTCCCGGAGAAGGGGGGAGAAGGTCAAGGAGAGGCACGGGTGGAGGGAGTAGCCTGCAGGCCCAGGAGAGGGAGCCAGCCTGGTGTATGAGAGGGTCGCCACTTGCAGACTCCAGGGCTCTGGTAGGGACAAGAGGACTGACCCTCCAGAAGTGATCCGAGAGCAGGGAGGCAGGAGGCCGGCCCTGTGGCTGTGGAGGGCCCTCATCCCTGTGTCTGAGAGATCTGAGGGCAGCTCCTGGGTTCAGTCCTAGCCCCGTTCTCCCCCATTTGCAGCAGAGTCATGGCCCCTCTCCCATAATGGGGCACTGCAGCCCCACCCTCACATGCCACCAGAGAGGGGGCACGGGGTCCAAGACTGGGACACTGGATTCTCCGCCCACCATTAGGTCCCCTGAGAGCCCCATCTTGTCTCCCTGGAGCAGCAAGGGAAAGGGGAGAAGTGCCTGGGTACCCCCCCCTCCTCCCCAGCAGGGCCTCCTGAGGATCCCTCCTCCTGCAGACCAGACACACACAGAGGTTCCTTTAAGAACCACAGACCTGTGGGACAGAGGCAGGCTCAGCCCTGTCAGACCAGATCTCCCTTGTCTCTTCCTCTTAAGGTCACCTAGTGTTCTGGAATGATCTCTGGAGTACCCCAGACTTTGTCCCCATGCAGGGCTGGTGACTACACCCAGACCAAGTCCCCCCAGCTTCACTGACCTCCATTACACCACGATGCCCTGCCCAGCCCAGGTACCGCAGTTGTGCCCACCTCCCTTGGCCGCAACACCCCTTGCCGGGTCTCTGGGCCCCTGTGTCCACCCAGGAGCTTGGGAAAATGGCAGCAAGCTCTGCTGGGCCCTGGGAAAGAGAGCCCTGCCAGTCATCACATCTCCAAATGCCTTGGAGTCTTGGGCACACAGGCAATTATGTGCCCACTTGGGAGGGAAAAGTCTGGCTCCCCAGGGGCTCGCAGCCTTGGACTCCAGCCCTGGCCCTTGCTTGGAATCCACATCCCCACTTCCTCCCATCAGTGTGGCCCTGCCACCTCCCAGCTCTGGGGCCAGATTCCTTGCTCTTCTGCCCGAGAACTTCCTTATCTAGGGATTGCTGGGGAGGGTAAGAGAAATACCACCTGTGTAGCCCTGGTGCTACTCTCCGGGCACTTGACAGGCGCAAATGACAGCCACTGTCACTGCTGTTCTGGTCTTAACATGCTGCCAGCCCCTCTCCAGGCTCAGGGTCTGGGGAAGCTGGGTCCATGCTGGCCCCTCCTCATGTGGGGTTGCCCCTAGAAGCTTCTTGGCCTGGTCAGGGGTAATAAGGCCCTGTTGGTGCTGGCCCAGGTGGGTGCAGTGCTGGATGGAGGTGGCAGAACTGCTCCCAGGCCAGCCCCACCCCTGACACTGCAGCCTGGTTTCTGGAAAGGGTGGGGTGTGATCCGCCCTGGGTGGGAGGCTGGATTCTCTCCAGTTGGCCTCCTAGTGCAGACACTGGGGGAGGTGCAGGGTAGACCCTGGGTACTCTGTCTCCTGGCAGTGTGGCCGGTGGGGGCCTGCCCTCCAGGAAAAAGACTGTGGTAGGGAAACTGGGGTGATCAGGGCACAATTGACCCCCCTCCCCCTGCACAACATACCCCTCAGGTGTCCCACACTTGAGCCCTGGGCCAGACCCTGTGCTGCCTACTCCACGTATTTTCTCTGACCAAGTACCAATGGCCCCAGGTCTCAATCCCAAGTCTCAGAGAAGAAACCAAGGCTCAGCGTTTTAATCAACCATCCGAAGTTAGAAAGTGGCAAAACTGAGCATGGAACTCAGGTCTATGGATCCAGAGTTCCCTGGTACATGGCCCTAGCAGATTGAAGGAGTACCCCCAATCTCTCCCAAACGCAGTGCCAGGGCTAGAATCCCTGTAAACTGGCTGGGGTGGGCTGAGGTCAGAGCACAGGACATGAGGGCATGGGCTCAGCTTCCTCATGGGAAACACCAGCCTTCCTGGCACCTCTCTGCCTGTCCCTCACAGCCTGCAGGGCTGATCTTTCTGCCCCATCCTGTGTCCCGGGGTGATGGGTGTCCTGTGGCTTATTTCATTGCTTTTTCAGTGGGTCACCCCTCCACCCTGCACAGAGCGTGAACCCAGGGCAGGGGCTTGGCCTGAATGCCAGCAGTCAGGCTGATCCACGTTGCTGGAGCAGTGGGCCTCCTTCTGTGACCTCACCCCTGCTCCCAGTTTCTTAAAGTCCAGCCAGAAGGAGCTATCTATTTTTGCTTCCCCCAAATGCCCCTTGCTCTTCCCTCTTTGCACTGCTCTTTCCTACTCTACAAACCCCTGCCTCCCCAGCAGCATCTCACCCCCCAGGGCCTGGCTAAAGTCACAGTTTCTCCAGGAAGGCGCCCTCCCCACCCCGTGTTGTCTTGAGAACCCCACATTGGGAAAGGGCGGTGCTGGGAGGCAGCTCAAGCAGGCCAGCTCCCTGACGTCCCCTGCACGCCCGGCCCGGCTCAGCCTCGTCTCCCTCTGCAGCGCCGGGAAACACCCCTGCGCCCGGGAGTCGGCTTTCCTGAAGAGCAGCCCCAGCCCCCGGCCTCGGGCGGATTTGCACTGCCCGGGCCCCTCCTGCTTGACGGGGAAAACTGCTTGGGGATTGGGGTGCGCTGAAGGTGTGGTCGGCGTGCCCAAGACCCAGAGCAGGGTCAGGGGGCGAGGATGCCCCCTGGGGCCTGGGCGCTTTACCCAACTGTGGAAACATTTTTCTCCTGAGTCTTCAATTGAGGGCAATTGAAATTGCCATAGAGGTTGGGTGGGGCTGAGAAGTGGGGTGAGCAGGTGGGTGGGGCTGAAGCTCTGGTGACGGCGCCAGGGAAGGGGCGGGGCCGGGCCCCCACCTGGTTTCTATGAATCACGGGACCGCAGTGAATGGGCTTTCAGAGGCTACTTCCCACAGGGAGATGGGGGTGTGGGGGGAGGGGATGGAAAGGAGGTGGGGGGGGGTTGAGGAGGAAGGGAGAGGTCACTTCATTCCTGCTAGGGGAGTGTTTCCAATGAATTTGACACAGAGGCCCCTCTGGCCCAGGCATCTCCCATCCACAGGGGCCCAGGTGAGGTGCTGAGCCCTGGATTCTGCTGGGAGACTGACTTGCTTTATCAGTCAGCTCCATGATGATACCAAAAATGGCATCAGCCTGTACCTCTCAGGCACTTGCTGTGCGCCAGGCATCGGCTAAGGAATTTAAGTTATACACCCTAGTTAGATAGCAGGAAAGTTAGGGCCCACATAAACAGCTCCATTTAGACATGAAGAGATTGTGATCCAGGGGAGTTAGGTGAGCTATCCAAGGTCACACAGGGCAGGATACTGATGATTCTGATTTTTTTCCTCCAGTATACTTTCTACCAAATTAAATCGGACTTTTGATAAAAACAAAGAAAAGCCTATTTTTAAAGAAATAGTTTCTGTATTTAGTCAACAAAAACATAATCTCTCACTATGTGATGAGTACATGCTCGTCAATCCTTATCATAGGAAAACTTGGGTGAAGTAATGTTCAGATCATCGAGTGCCAGATTTTGCTGACTCACCAGACATTCTGGGATGCTGAGTGTAAGGTTTTACACTGTTGCTTGCTTGGGCTAAATAACTTAAGAATTATCATATGCCTCTTCCCACTCAGCTGTGCCTGTGATTTCCTCATCTTTCCCCCTGTCTAGACGGGGTGCTTCTTGAGGCCCAGGGCCCTGGTTTGCTCATTTCTACATCCTGGTGCCCCTCTATACATGTTGAATGATGGAAGACATTGTTCTCATCCAGCAGACCTCCTACAGGATTTGATCATATGAATATTAAATATTGACAGGGAGGGAAAATATTCACCTGAGAGTTGTATTGTCTTTAACAGTTGTCAAAACACTATAAATTAAAACACAGCAATGGAAATTTAGAAAAGAGCAAATTTGATCTCAAAAGATTCAGATGTTTGCCTTGTTCATGGGATATCGGTCTAAGCATAGAGTCGGCTTGGTTACCAATAT